AAGGGTGTGTTTATGGGATGTTTATATTAGAATAGTTGCTGTTCTATTTAACATAACAGTTGCTGTTCTGTTTAATTGCTGGGGCAATTAAATAACCAATTATTCTATTAAGCTTTCCAAAAGAGTAAAAGCAGGACCAATTCTTCTTTCTTTCATTTGTATTTTAACTGTAGAGTAAGAATGAAGTATATTTTGCTAGAAGCTGAGTGTGTAACCAATTGAATTACATCTGGAACACAACACCTATGTTGCCTTTAAATAAGATAAATGTTAGGGCTTAGGCTCTTCTCCTTCATATATTTCCAGAGGATTTGGTCTGGTCCATAACAATATATCAATTCAGCCCTGGTCAGTCAAATATTCAACTGGCTGTATATGTTGAAGGAGAGATTCTAGTATTTTCTGAAACATGCAACATTTCCCGGTGGAAATTGAACAGCACGGTGGCTTAATGGTTCGCACTGCTGCCTCACACTGCCAGGCACCTCGATTTGATTCCAGCTTTGGGTGTCTATGTGGAGTTTGCACAATCTCCCCATGTCCGCGTGGGTTTCCTCCAGATGTTCCAGTTTCCTCCCATAGTCTAAAGATGTGCAGGTTAGGTGGATTGTCCATGCTAAATTGACCATAGTGTCAGGGATGTGAAGATTAGGTAAATTGACTAATAAGGATCCCTTATTGTCAGTGGTATATGTGAGGGAGTGATAAACAAGTTTGACATGAAGTTTGGCCAAGTGGTTGACAGAGAGGAAAGTCTGTGGTTACAGGAAGAGATGGACTGGCTGGTTAGATAGGCAGATCAGCAGCAGATGGAAATTAACCCTGAAAAGCCTGAAGTGTTGCACTTCGAAATACGACACAAGACAAGGGAGTATTCAATGAATGGGGAACACTAGGAAGCTCGGAGGAACAGAGAGATCTTGCGATGTTGTCTACTAAGCCCTGAAGGTTCATAAGGTATTTCAGAATTCATTCAGATACTTGCCTTCATAAGTCAAGGCATAGATTATAAGAGCAAGTAGATTATGTGGAGCTGTACAGGACTTTGGTTAGGCTATAGTACTGTGTGCAGTTGTGGTCACTGCAACATAGGAAGGATAAAATTACACTGGAGGCTGTGCAGAGGAGATTCATCAGGATGTTGCCAAAGATGGAAGACTTCAACTGTGAAGAGAGGCTGGATAAGACCAGGTTGTTCTTTTTAGAACAGAGAAGGCTGACAGGGGACCTGATTGAGGTGTATATGATTATGAGGGTGCATATGATTATGAAGTAATTGTTCTCCTTAGCTGAAAGGTTAATTACTAGGGTGCATAATTTTAAAGTGAAAAGTAGGAGGTTGAGTGAGGATTTAAGGAAAACCTTTTTCACCCGGAGAGTAGTGAGAATCTGGAATGCACTGCCTGGGAGTGCAGCAGAGGTAGGAAACATCACAAACTTTAAAAGTTACGTGAATCAGTTCTTCAAATATCACAACATTCGAGTGATGAAATGTAGGAATACTGTCGATAGGTCGACACAGACTCAATGGGCTGAATGGCCCTTTCTATGTTGTAAGACTGTGTGACTCTATTACACTGTCTCTCTAATGACTCTCCTGCATCCTCCAGATTGAAATGCTAGTGTCCTCCTTGAAGCCATCTCCACAAGCCCTCAGGCGAAACTCCTGTAAAATCACTTCGACAAGCTGAACCTTGCATCCAGGTGGCCATAAATGATCTCCCCTTGATTTCTTCAATCTCAACTGAAGAATGTTTAGGGGAAGACAAAGAAACTAAAGACACTCTGAAGCTCTCCTTGAAACATTGACAATAATAATTAGGAGATGCCTGCTCTTGATTGTTCAGAACGATGACAACATCCATTTGTGTGGCATGTGGCAATGCGAGGTCAACATTTATTGCTCATCGCTAATTAAAGTTAAAAAGGTAATGGTGAGCTGTCTTCTTGAATAGCTGCTGCAGTCCTTGGGTATTAAATAAGTAATTCACTTCTGTCTTCACTCAGGAGAAGGACGATGTAAATACAGAATTTGGGGAGCAGGGCTGTGAGGTTCTTGAACAGACTGACATAGGAAGTGAGGCGATATTGGAATTTATGGTAGATTTAAAAGTGCACATATCCCTAGGTCCAGATGAGTTATATCCCAGGCTACTGTGGGAGGTGAGGGAGGAAGTTACCAGACCCAAGGCTAATAGGAAAGTAGTTCCAGGATTGTGCTTCAAAAACATTGAAGAAATGGTGACATATTTCTAAGTCTGGATGGTATGTGGTCTGAAGGGAGCTTGCAGATAATGGTGGTCCGATGCATCTGCTGGTCTTGTCCTTCATTCTGAACAAAGGCTTCCTGAACTCAAAGCATTAACTCTGTTTTTCTTTCGACAGATGCTGCCAGACCTTCTCAGCTTCTCCAGCATTTTCTATTTTGGTAAGTTGTCCACCTTTGACTCTTCGAGCCACACTACTTTAATGATGAGGCAGAGTAGTCGCAAAGGAACAGGAAGAAATCCAGCCATCGAGATCCCACTCTCCATCCTGCCTCACATGCTCAAACACCTGTGCATCAAAAATCAGCTGCTCTGTCACGTGAAGAGCCTTGGTAGAAACTTATGACCCATGATTTGGATGTTGAATGGACAATTCAATCATCCTTGAATTGACAGTCACGTGCCAACACAAGTGGGAAACCCAGAACTGGATGGAATATTATTGTTTTCACAATCGTAACTTAAGACTGCAAGCAAGATCAATGCACCTTGTTGTGACATTCCAGAATGTGCTAGTGAGCAAAGAGCTCACAGCCAATTCATTGACACTGACCCCTAACACTATACTTAGATTTTTACATTGTATTAAAGCCTGGGTGAAAGAACAAAAGTACTTATTGTTCTAAACCAGTGGATCAAAGCTCCAAGTTTAATATCCTTACAACTTGCTGAAGGGAAATGATGACTCAGATTCCTAACATAAATCCAGTTGTTGGGAACAGCAGGAGTCGAAGTTTGCATATGTAATGCCTGGTGAAACTGTTGACCTATTCCTTTTGGTATGGTTAAATACGCACATGAGGCAAATAAATACAGAAAGCTATTTTCCACTAATTGGGTTACATGAAGGCATTTGAATTGAGGCCAACCTTTCTTGTAAAAATGCTTTTCAAAGGGTATGATCAGACCAGCAACCTGAACATTTCATGAGGTGACGGACACAGCAAGTTGTCTCCAACTCACTCAGTGATCACTAAAGTTCATAAGCCCCCATTGTGCCAACCATTAGGCTTGAGGGGGTCATACAATCCCCTGACCCTTTCATTGTTTGCCATGTAGTTCAGTCAGTTGTGCTTATTACTTGTCACAAAGATATCTTCAATGGAAGGGATCGCAACATTTGGCCCACATTTTAATACTAATGGCCTGTTGCTATATTATGCTAACACCATTTTCTATTAGTCTAATCAGCTGAAAAACAAATGAACAGTATCTTTGTGAATTCATGCCAGCCTACAGTTATTTAAGTGATTTTTGAATCACAGTTATTGTTACAGTTATTTTTTATTCACTCATGGGTAATGGGCATCGCTTTCTGGTCAACATTTATTGTCCATTCCTTGCTGAGTGGCTTAGAAGGCCATTTCAGAGGGCAGTTGAAAGTCAACCACATTGCTGTGGGTATGCAGTCACATGTAGGCAGATCAGGTAAGGATGGCCAATACAGATTTCTTTCACTGAAAGATATTAGCGAGCTAGATGAGGTTTTCCCAACTATCAACAATGATTTCACGGTCATCGATAGATTCTTAACTCCATTTTTTTCTCATTGAACTCAAATTCCACCATCTGCCAGGGCAGTATTCAAACCCTGGTCACCAGAACATTAGCTTAATTCCTGGATTAATGTCAGGGAGGTGATGGCCTAGTGGTATTATTGCTGGACTGCTAATCCAGAGACTGAGATAACATTCTGGGGACCTGGGTTTGAATCCTGCCATGGCAGATGGTGGAATTTGAATTCAATTAAATATGTGGAATTAGGAATCTAATGATGACCGTGAATCCATTGTCAATTGTCGATTATTGATTGTCAACTGTCGGGAAAAATCCATTTGGTTCACTAATGTCTTTTGGGGAAGGAAACTGCCGTCCTTACCTGGTCTGGCCTACACGTGACTCCAGATCCACAGCAATGTGGTTGACTCTTAATTGCCCAGAGGGCAGTTAGGGATGGTCAATAAATGCTGCCTAGCCAGAGACACCCTCAGCCGGATAATGAATAAAGGAATATCTAGCAATAAAACCACTAGGCCATCACCTCCCCATTTAAGGACGGAATGAAGGAAATGCAGCAATAAATTTGTCCACAGCAAGTGTGCATAATCCACAATGAGGTAAGGCCAAAGAATCAGCTCTGGGGCTTAAATGGAGGGATACATATTTGTTAGGACACAGGGGTCAACTCTCTTGCAACTCATTGGATATTGCCGTAGGATCTTATACAATGAACGTATACATTTACCTGAAATTGTGGATAAGAATTCTTATTCAGAAGACAAAACCACCAACTTTTGAGAAGATTTGGAACTTGGGTTGTTGACTTGCTTGACGAGCTGGTAAGTTTGCTTGCAGGCGTTTCATCACCATACTAGGTAACATCATTGGTGCGTCTCCAGTGTTCTGTCCCGCTTGCTATTTATATTTGCTGGGGTGGGTGGCATCACATCTGGGTTTGTTTCTTCTTGTTTGGTATATGGAGTCCAGCTCTGCATGATTGTTAACGGAGTTCCAGTTTGAATGCCAGGCCTCCAGGAATTCTCGTGCAAATCTTTGATTGGCTTACACTAGGATAGCTGCATTGTCCCAGTCGAATTGGTGTTCCTCTTTGTCCATGTGCATTGAAATGAGTTAAAGTTGGTCATGCCTCTCGGTAGCTAGTTGGTGTTTGTGAATCCTGATGGCTAGTTTCCTTCTGGTTTTGCCCTATGTAATGTTTTTGGCAGTCTTTACATGGTAACTTGTAAATAACATTGGTTCCATTAGTTGCGGTTGTCGGATCCTTTATTCTCATCAGCGGCTGTCGTAGCGAAGCCTTCGGTTTGTGGGCTACCATGATGCCGAGGGGATGGAGAAATCTGGTGGTCATCTCAGATATGTCCTTAATGTATGTTAGAGTGACGAGTGTCTCTGAACATGTTGTGTCTTCCTGTTGTGGTCTGTTGTGTAGGTATCGGCGGACTACGCTTTTCAGGTAACCGTTGTTTCTAAAGATGCTGGAAAGGTGTTCTTCCTCAGCTTTGCGCAGCTCCACGGTGCTGCAGTGTGTTGCAGCTCGCTTGAACAGCGTTTTGATGCAGGTCCATTTGGGGGTATTGGGATGATTGCTATTGTAGTTGAATACCTGATCTGTATGGGTGGCCTCCCTGTGTACGCTGGTCTGGAGCTCACCGTTGGCTTTATGTTTGACCACTACATCCACAAAGGGAAGCCTGTCATTGTCCTCCTCTTCGCTGGTGAATTTTATGTCGCTGAGGATTTTGTTGATGAGTAAAAGGGTTTCCTCAAGTTGAGAGCATTTGATAATGTCAAAGGTGTCATCCACATAGCGGATCGATAGTTTTGGTTGGATGGTGGGAAGGGCAGTCCGTTTCAGTCGTCGCATTATGGCTTCCCCTATTAATCCTGATAATCAGTGATCCCATGGGTGTTCCGTTGATTTGTCCATACACAGTGCCAATGAAGATGAAGTGGATTGTGAGGCACAGATCCAGTAGTTTGAGGGTGCTGTCTTTGCTGATTGTGTTGGTGTTGTCGGGTGTCTGTATCCCTGGACCATCTAGTGGCGAGGCGAGTGTTTCCTTAGCTAGGGGGATGTTAATGGAGTTAAATAGTGCAGTCACTTCAAAGGAGACCATGATCTCATCCTCATCTATTCTGGTGGGCTTGATGACGTTGAGGAAAACCACCAGTTCTTCCAGGCTGTTAGCCTATATTTTGAAGACTGTAAACTCAGGATCTGCTAACCTTTGGCAAGTGTGCGCTTCACTCAGCCACATTTAGCACAGGACAAACAATACAAAGATTATGTTTCCTGTCTCTCATTCTAACAACACTGCAGGTTTTCCACTTTACTGGAATAGTAACAGAGATAAAGAAGCATCAGCTAATAATGCAATGCTGGCGTCTATAACTTTCTACTCACACGAAAGTTATTAAAACACTAGCAGCAACAAGGCAAAATATTATAAAAATCACAATTGCAGCTCAGTGCTTGATCATCATCTATTATATAAGGAGATTGAAATTCAGAAATGTTCCTTGATAAGGATTGTGATGCAATGCTTTTAATATTTTTCACTATTAGTCATGTTCTTAGTGGATACTTGAAGCATACTCAACTTTTTCTGTGGATCCCCACCCTCCCTTTCACTATGAAGCATAACAACATCACAAGGGTATGCCTTACTTTAACTGATTCATAATGTGAGTTGCTATGAAGGGTGGTACAAATCCAAATTAAGATTTGTTCCCTGTCCAACACCTTGGCACTCAAACATGTCATCGCTATTGCAGTCAGCAGCTACAACAAAGCTAAGTAGCTATCACTTGGTGGGCATTAAGGGAAGATGATTAGATCCTAAGCTCGGAGTGTCCTCCCTATAACCAACTCCACCTTCCCTTCTTCCTTTAACACGTTTCAAATAACATATATCACAAATATATCTTAGCACGGCTTGCTGTCAAATTTTGCCTGCATTTGCTCCTGTCCTGTTATGTGTCATTAAACATGTCATTTAAATGCAAGTTGTTGCTGCACTGATTTATAAATAAAAGAAATAATTATCATCGTGGAAGGTAATTCTTTTAGGCATCAATCTAAATTGAAGCTTGTTTCTTTGATTGTGCCCATGGGGCCTGATCGTGTTTCTGTGGATACCACATCAATAAGGTTTTGGATAGAAGCAGTGAATAGGGACGGGGACAATTATCATCAATGTAGTGTTCATTTTCTTTTCACTAACATTTCCAGTTAATCATAATAGAAGCATTCAAAGAGAACAAAAATTAAATATCAATGGATTGATGGATAAAAGAATGCTTACACATACATAGCACCTTTCACACCTCAAGACAATAAAAATTACTTTAAATCTGAAGTACCTTTGAAGTGTAGTGTGATGTAGTGATTTATATATTTGTTTAACACAAAAACAACTTGCATTTAGGTTAGGAATAGTAAGAACTGCAGATGCTGGAGTTTGAGATAACAGTGTGGAGCTGGAGGAACACAGCAGGCCAGGCAGCATCAGAGGAGCAGGAAGGTTGATGTTTTGAGTCGGGACCCTTCTTCAGCATTTAAGTTGCACCTCTAGCAAAGTAAAATGTGTGAAGGGTTTTTGTTTGTCCACGGCAGGATCTGCTTCCTGCTCCTCCCTCCTTTGCCACCGCTCTGTCTCATCGTTAAGGTGGTGTGACTCACAGAGTCAAAGGTGGATAACTTACCACAACAGAAAATGCTGGAGAAACTCAGCAGCCCTGGCAGTATTTATTGGGAGAAAGCAGAGTTAATGTTTTGAGTCTGGTGCCTCTTCATTAGAACTCAACCAGTTTCAGGTTATCAGTTCTGTGAAAATATCAATCCTGTCTGGAGGTAGTTCACAATTGGGCTCAACTTCTTAGGGTGGAAGAAGAAAATTGTGTATCACATACATCAGGAGCCTGAGTTCCCACTTCTGTAGTGACTGTTCAAAGAATGTATATGAAGATCAAATGCAGGCAGAGCTCAGCCACAAGGACTTGTTGAAATACTGAATTGATTCACATAATATTTCCATTTAAATAATCATCCAATGCTCTCTGGAATGCCTCAATTGACCCCATTTGCACCACTCTACAAGTCAGTGAATTCCAAACCTGAAAGGTTTTCAGTGGCTAACTCACAGATTGGCAGAGAAACAATGTAAACGATCATTAATGATGTTTCTCATGCTGATTATCCACCAACGTTACTGTAGCGTGCAACCATGAAAATGTTATCCTCCTGTCCCAGCTCATTGACTAGGCCAGAAAACTCTCTACTTCCCATTTTCCCTGACAACTTTCCATTTGGCAACATGAAGGCAGGAGATGTTATTGTCATTTGCCTGTTCACCAATTGACATTTACCCTTGATCTGACAGTACCCTGATATATTCCTTGAAATCTCATCCCTTGTGCTCAAATCCCTCCATGAGTTCACCCTTCCTCACTTCCCCTGGTCCTAAAACCCTCCAACACCATTGCACTCCTCAAACTCTGACCCCAATTTCAATCTATTGCTCCAAAGATACAGCTCAGTCAAATGGTCCACATTAAATCCAGTTGCAGAGACTCCGAGTCCTGGAATTTCTTCCCGAAACCTCTTTGATTGTCTGCCTCTCTCTTATTGAATTATTTCCTAAAGCCTACATTTCAACCCAGTGAGGTACCACCTGCCTCCTTATGTGGCATTTTGTTTGAAAAAAAACTCCTCTGGAACAAGAAAAAAACCCTTCACACATTTTACTGCGCTAGAGGTGCATCTTAAATGCAAGTTGTTGACAAATATCATTTGCATTGTACAGGAATTGAAACTAACCAACGTTAAGGGCTCACGTTTCAGGCAGGAAATGGAAGTGACTGCAATACAACCGGTTGCCACTCTCATCCAAAAGAAACCGTTTCATTTTCATGGCAAATTCCCGTGAGGTGGGTGAATTGGTGCCAGTGTGAACCACTGTGCCTGCAGCTGGTTAACAGTAACATGGAAAAACAGAGCAGCAGCAGGAGTGCTCTCTGGTTATTACACAGTGATAGCAGGAAGATGTAGCCCATCTGTTGAGCCAGCAGGATTTAATTGTATTACCACAGAAAGAGCTACAGAGGACGGGAAATTTGCATTTCCTACAGCACTACCGAAATAGCCTTAAACAACTTCAGAAAAAGAAATGCTCAGCAATAGCTAAAGCAAACATACCACTACAGATCCCTATTAATACAAAGACTAATACTATACGATAAACATGCAATTGAGAAGGACTTAGAGCAATACTCAGCAAATACTATTTCTTTTTAAATGTGCATTCTACACACCCCAAGATCTTATATGATCTTACCTATAAAAACATAGGTCTAAAAATCAACAAGTCCAGATTATTTTGCAGATCTAAATGATTTTGACAATGGCCAACATCAGTTCTGAAGAAGGGTCACTGGACTTGATTCCCTACCTGCACTCATCTATCAACATCCCACCTACCTTCCCCAGCCCCACTCCTCCTCTCTCTATTTATTTCTGAGCACCCTTCCCTTTCACCATTTCTGAAGAAGGGACCCTTTCTGAAATGTCAACTTTCCTGCTCCTCTGACACTGCCTAGCCTGCTGTGCTTTTCCAGCTCCATACTGCATTATCTCTGACTCCAGCATCTGCAGTTCTTACTGTCTCCTTGAAACATTAAGTCTGTTTTCTTTCACCACAGATGTTGCCAGGCCTGTCGAGTTTCCCCAGCAATTTCAGCTTTTGTTTGAGCCAAGATCAATGATCAGGAATAGAATAAACACTGGGCCATTTCCCAAAGAAAGAGATGATTCCATGAGTCTATTGTTTCTCAGATCAACAATATTGGTTTATTCTGTGGATTACAATGGCTTTGAAGGTAGAAACAGTAAGGACAAAAGATACAAATGCAGGCTGCCTTTAAAATGAAACAATGAACAATCAGAGAGAATTTTCTTCCTCAAATTTTCTCATCTTTATCTAAAAACTATTGTTATTCTCCTCTCTGTTCCTTATCCAGATATTACAATAGCTACACAGAATTAGCAACAGTCTGTTTAGCTAGATCGCAGGGATTAATTTATTCTGCATTTAGCTGGCACAGAAATCAGGCAAGACACATGTTTTATTGCAGGAAATTCAAGAAGGAGCTGTTTGTACTAATTTTCCACACAACAGAATTACCTCTCTATCCCAAATTCCATTCCTGATCTTGTAGTCCTTCCATCAATGTTGCTACTGAATCCCAATTATTCTCATTGCTAGTGATTGCCAGTACAGTCTTAAACTAAGAGCTACAAGTATGAGATAGTCACCAATCAATTCAATAAAACGTTCAGGAGAAAATGGACAAAAACAAAGTTGCTGGAAAAGCTCAGCAGGTCTGGCAGCAACTGTGAAGGAGAAAACAGAGTTAACATTTCGGGTCCGGTGGCCCTTCCTCAGAACTGATGTGGGACCTGAAAAGTTAACACTGTTTTCTCTTTCACAGATGCTGCCAGACCTGCTGAGCTTTTCCAGCAACTTTGTTTTTGTTCCTGATTTACAGCATCCGCAGTTCTTTTGGTTTTTATTCAGGAGAAACATCTTTACTCAGAGATTGGTTAGAAATGCAGAATGGCAAGCTGTTGGGATTCCCAATTAAGCTCTGAGCTACCATTAAATTCTATTATGTTCAAGGTAATTGGTGTTAATTGGCCCATCAATTAGCGTCATTGATATCCCACCCCGAAACTGCAACTAAATCCTGGGATGGCTTCCTGACGCCAAGAGACTGCTATGCATCTTCTCCCATGATTGAGCTGACCTGGATGTTACATTTCACATTGTGAAGGACTCGATTAAATTCTGCTCATAGAAACTGACT